GGCTACCCGACCGCCCCGTGATATTTCTGAGGAAGGGGAGGTAATTGGCGAGGAACTAAATGTAGTGTAATAGCTTCTTCCGGTAGACGCCAGCAACCAAGGTGAACGGTGAAGGTAGCGCCTATTTAAGGGGTAAAATAACCAGCAAATTTGATTGACGTCACCTAAAACCCTTTGTTTCTCTGCTATCTAACCTAACTCACTTGGCTAAGTAACTATTGATCGCTATTTGAACATAGAAGTTGGTGAGTAAGTAAGAGAACCTTACAACTTTATGGATAACAGTTTCTGGTTTATTGCATGTAGCGGTGTTTCGATGTAGATTCTAACATTATCTCCCATTCATTAATATTTTGACGGTTTCGATACAGCGATGTTTCGATGTAGATTCTTACCCAGCTTGATAATGATGTTAGAATCTACATTACGTCTTCTGTGACATAAGTAAGGCATTGGATGAGGTATGGCACAAGTAATTATTATCTAAATTAAATGCAGTGGGCATTGATTGAAATTTAATGAAATATTTTTCCAACAGATAACAGAGAGTTGTAATAAATGTTCAGGCATCCAATGTGACACATTTAGCAGTCGGTGTACCTCAGGGATCTTTATTGGGTCCTCTACTTTTTCTTATTTATATAAATGTCAGTGTGGATAATCTGCAATATACGACTGTTTGCTGATGAAACTTCATTTCATGTAGTATTTCGAAGATCCCTTAACTAGAAGCACAATACTTATGGTGATCTCAATTTAATTGCAGAATAATCTGAATAATGGCAAGTTATTCAGTTTTCACGCAAGCATCCACCTTGACATAGAACACCTCTGTCCAGGAAAGGAGAGATCATTAATGAGGTAGTATACCATAAGCTTTTATAAGTATTATTACAAGAAGATGCCCAATAGCATATCAGTAATATCACTATGAAATCTCGTCCTGTGATCAATTGCTTGGGGAGTTAAAATACCGCTTGGCATGGAAATCACTAGAAACAATGTATTTATCTGTTATTTTGCCTGTTCTCGACCACAACTCCAATATATGCTGGGATTTTGTCTGGCAAAAGCTGCATGACAAGATCTTTTGTTAGTTAAACTGTGTGCCTTAAGAGCATATAAGACAAAGTATTTTTTGTGGCAGACACTTTTTTTTCAACAATCTGAAGCGTAATTACTTTTTTTTCAAAAAGATTCTGCGACAATATTTTTTTGTTCTGATAAAATCCCAACCTTAGTGAGTGAGGCTTAATGTTAAAACATCGTCATAAAATATTGTTTGTGGAACGGGGCCCTGGGTCACCTTACTCGACAAGCAAAGGTGGCTGAGGACTAGTTGCAACCCGGAATCACAGATCCGAAATGATGAAAAAATGGCATAAGGGTCCTGGGGCGTTCTGGCGGCACTGTCTGCAACAACTCCCTGACTGTGATGACGATGGTTGTTACGAATGTATTGTGCTGTCCTAGTATCTCCTAGCAAATTGGGACAGGGCACTATGACCATGTACGAGAGACGATTATCCCCGAGTTGATTATATTATCACTAAAATAATAAGTCATAAAATAAATAACATCCACGGGCACCCATAACTCATCTCCAGCCTTGACCACCAGTGACACAAACATCAGCTAAATTATCCTGTCGTATCTGGAAGCAACTTCACGACATGGTTATACAGAGAGCAGTGTGTAACTCGTTCAAAGCATTTTCAATCGTGTGCAGAACATCTAGGTTCAATTGACTTGTACATTGGCCTTGCCAGTGATAACTAGATGCAGCGTCATAGCCAAAGTAGGAAAATATATATTGACGATCGGCACCGTATGAGAAGGGTCATATACATTGAAAGTCTTGTCTCTGGACTTGGATTCTTGTCACGGAGCTGAGCTCCAATGAGCTCCGGCTAATTACAATAAAAGATAGGATAAACCCAGTCTGCGCTGACACAGATCACAGTTTAATTACATCACCGCAAATATACCAGTTTAACCAACCAACTGTATTACAGCAATAAGAACTAGAGTAGCTAAAACAACACTTTGAAAAGATACTGACCGGATGTGCAGAGAGAAAATTAAGTCGACTGCGACCAATTAACACCTGAGTCAATTAACTCCACGCTCTAGTGAGTGAATAACCTCGTCTGAGTAAAATAACGAAAAATAAACACTGAGACCTTATCCCTAAAATAGTCACTTAGACTACAAAATAGACGATTACGTCTGAATATCCACTAGTCTTAATCGACTTAAGTCTCAGTCGCTTTGACTGAACAAGAAAATCTTAAAGTTCCCAAATACCTAGTTAATCAGGGGATGGTGGGTTATCCACGGATTACAAGAAAAACTGAGTATTGAGCTTAGAAATCAAGGAAAGGCTGGTTATACACGAATTACTAGAAAAAGGAGTATTACAAACTCTAGTAACTAAGTTTGTTTCATTACAACCAGACTAAGTCAGAATCTAGATCAACATATCCTCAAACCTACTTACGGACGAAACTGACGTGTTTCGACCGTGACCACTCCAGTGACGAGACAATCGTGAACGATTTCACGAAGTCTGGCAGGTGAAGATAGAGATCTAGAAAGACTTTAGATATACAGCGCGCGCCGACGTCGGAGGTGACAACCTCTTCTGGACCGTCGGGGAACTGACTGAGGCACCAAGTCAGTGTATCACTAGACTGTCAAATGGGTACATTTGATCTACGGTGACACTTAATTATTGAAACAAGTCGTAGATATTTCAATGCACGTGCAACCGTAGCAGATCTAGGGTGATGTAAGGGGACAGGTTCAGGGGACTCTTTTTTTAAAAGTACAATTCATTGTATTGACATACCAAGTCCTCCTTCATCCGTCTCATCCTATTTAAGACCCCTACGTACCCCCTTTCGAAATACAGACCACCTCCGTGGTCTAGTGGATAGAGCGTCTACCCGGAGAGCAGAAGGTCTCAGGTTCGATCTCCAGCCGCGTCACGTCAAAAGACGTTAAAGATGGTACTTGCTGTTATCAATTATGACGCTCGGCATTAAGGGGCTAAAACAAGTACTGGTCGGATCGGGGTCAGTGTAATGTGTCTGAGTGGGGTATTAATGTTAAAATGTATCTCAGTGCGCTGGCACTATAAAATCCACGTTCAACGCCACATCAAACCCCATTTCACCTCACTTTCTAAAACCAGATTAAATAGGAATTGGGAAATCTTAATAATTGTTTCAATGTAGAAAGAGATCAATCATTGCCACACACTAGTGGACGTTTCCGAGTTGAATTAATATTGCACTCAGTGGTTAGTTATCGAGTTAAACATTGATTTAACTTTGCTATATTTTGAAAAGGGCGCCAAAGTCAGTAAATTTTCAGCAAAAGCAAGGCTGTCGACATCAAATGGTCAGACTCTTGCAAAGGCGAAACCAAGGTTTTGAAAACTAAGCAATGATCTGTCCCGTCGGATCGTCTGTTTGTTAGTTTATCGCCATATTCAGCAATAGAACTTGGTCAAGACAATTTAGTGACTGACATCGTGAATATTGATCCACGCAATTGGGATACAAGGCATGCAGTCAAACCAAGTCCCCGAGCCTGATCATCCCATCCAGTTTAGCTGCATATTTACCCATTTACTGGAGACCTATATTCTTGCCGGGAATCACCGCGTGTGATGATGGGAAGTACAGCTCCAAGTTTTGAACTGCATTTTCATTATTAAAACGGCAGTTCGAAATATATTTTTTTACTCGTGTTAGCAAACGTACATGTGCTGGAGTCCTAAACTGTCACTGATTCCCTTTATCATTTATTATTTTTATCATAGCGACCAATTTGTGACAACTTTTGTCTGAAAGAACATTAACTTCCAGAGGCTAATTACCTTTAGCCATGGCATGTATATGTCTAGAATCACTTAATTGCCATTACTTATAAGATGCCTATCCCAATCGTTGATCCCTAGTGACACTAACACAACAACCACTGCCATTTGTGCTGATATATATATAGAAAACTTGTACCGCAAGCCATCTGCTCCCTGTTGTTAGTTCGTACAGAGAACCGTAAAGCGATACCTTGCATATAGGAACAAAAAAGAAGTGAGCAAAGCTCACATGCCCCCGTTATCCCCGCTGGTCAACAACAAATCACCCATGATTTGATTGAGGGGTTACATAAGAAGAATTATCAAAAGGACCCAAAATTGTTGATATAAAAACACATAAAAAATGGAACAATATCATATAAGAAAATCAATAAATTAATAATTTCCATCTAGCCTTAACAGATATGGTAAAGAATTCATAAATTCAAACTAACACAAAGCACAGATACTTATGATGATCTACATGAGTGGAAACAATTTTGGAAAATAAATTAGCTATACAAAACCAGTCATCAAAATTCAAAATAACACAAAGCACAGATACTTATGATGATCTACATGAGTGGAAACAATTTTTGAAAATATAGTAGCTATACAAAACCAGTCATCAAAATTCCTAAATTCCATCAGGTTTCCATGAAAACAGCAAAAGTGAAAACTTTCAGAATCTTATAAAAGATAAAAAACAATCATAGTGGTTAATGTAGCAAGTTTGCTGAAGCTAGGATACATAATATTGTAAACATGAATCGTACAAAAACTCTACCCAAAATTTATGTTTCACCATGATTCTATGGAAACAGCAAAAATAAAAAAATTCAGAATCTTCAAACTAGCAAAAGGCACAAGTACTCATTGTGGTTAATGTGTGTAGAGAGTTTGGTGAAGCTAGGGTGCATAATTAAAAGGATATGGGCCGTACAAAACCCCCATTCTAAAAGTTTAAGTTTCTTAATATTTCCATGGAAACGGCAAAAATTAAAAAATCAGGATCTTCAAACTAGCAAAAGGCACAAGTACTCATTGTGGTTAATGTGTGTAGCAAGTTTGGTGAAGCTAGTGTGCATGGTTAAAAAGTTATAGGATGTCCTCAGATCTTTGTTTAGCGGTAGCGAGAACTGAGGTCTGATTTTCATGAGATTGTGCCTATCACACACTTTTCGGTTTAAAAACAAAATACCAATCTTGTGATGTTTTGTTGTGGTGTGGGGGCTGATGCTATGTAAAGTGGTGGCATTGACGTGGTGTGTGAATTATCATGTTCGGAGTCACGTGTAGAGACTGAACTTAAACCAACCATCATCATTCAATGTGCAGAGTGCAGGGCGTTTAACAGTTTGCAAAAGTCTGCAATATGACATCAGTGCAAGCCAGTCTTGACAACAGATGGTGGGTTGTCACCAGCGATAACATTTACTCCTCAGTGTTTTCTAGTTCACATGCGCACGCTAAGCCAGACATGATTAAAACCAGTGGAATGTATCCGTGCGTGTTTCCGTATCGTAAATGTGATATATTGGGAATACAATTGTGATATGCGATATGTATATTTTTATTCAGCATGATACCCTTGTTCATGGGTTTACGTTGTATGACGGCGGTCTGTAAACAATCGAGTCTAGATCTGGACCAGACAATCTATAGTGCTTCATATCATGAGCATCGATCTATGCGATTGGGATACGATGACATGCAACAATCAAGTCAGCGAGTCTGACTCATTAGTCGCCTCTTACAAGCATGAGTTGCTGAAGACATATTCTAGCCCGGATCTTCACGGGTCTCGTTGGTTTAAGAAAACGGTCTACAGCCTACATAACTTTCATGCTGCATGCTGTTGAACTTTATTTAAGTTGTATCATGTAATGTCTGTCTGATGTGTTGTCTTCAGACATTTACCACATTGGTGAAGCCCATGATCACGGCTATGGTAGGGGCATGTCTGAAAAGATAATCAAGGCGAACCGGAATCCGAAACCATGATGAAAAGTTTCCTGGCACGCCAAAGTGGACGTAACTGTGGTCAACTGTGCCTCCTGTGAAGTTGTAACGACTGCTGATTATCATACAGGTGTTCTAATGGACTCATTCACTCAAAAGTAATCTCCATTTATGAGGATCCATGTAACCTCCTGTACACTGGCACAACAGCTGCACATACTGAACCTGCGATAAGACATCCACCTGTACAAAATAGACAATATGTCAATAAACTGCCTCCTATGATCCATATCTGCAAAATGGAACATGTATTTGCTGTTGATACTGAATTGTCGTTTTTACGAACAAAACAACTATACATCGTGATTGTAATGCCCATTAATACACAAATAAATCGCATGAAACCACAGTATTGTTTCTGGGCTCTAGGTTTGTGTATCGACAGCAACCTGTCTGATGTCTTACCTCCAAAGAAGTAAGTGTTATCGTAGACCTTACTGCTTTCATAGATGATACCTGAAAGGAAAAGGGAAGGTATGTTGCATTTCTATTCATCAAAGTATATCTTGAATATGTTTATCCGTTGCTAAGGTTAAAACACACATACATAAACACAATCCCAGAATTTCTTCTTGCACTCTATCTGTGTTAGTAAAGGCTAAATTATAAATACATTTAACTGAGGCGCGTATTTATGAATGAAATGTTGCTCTTTTTTAAATAATGTAGGTTCATGATCAAAATGTAGCTTATATAGCGGGAAAACTAGAAAGTTGTGGTATGAGTTGAAAGCAATTGCCAATTAAAACTGTGTTCAATCTTACTTTGATTATTACTATATTTTGCCTGAGAGTTTACTATGCTTTTTCTATATATAAAGAAGATATATATGTATATATATATCCAATGTATGATATCTCCACTGGCCACCCATGCTTCGTTGCAGAAGTGGCGTAATCATCTCAATCTCACTTAGCACTAACTCAGCACAGATTGTATCACTTGGTGTAATTTGAATTGGCAGCTATATTCAGGCAAAGTCATTTGAGTGAGTGAGTGAGTATGGTTTTACGCCGCTTTTAGCAATATTCCAGCAATATCACGGCGGGGGACACCAGAAATGGGCTTCACACATTGTACCAATGTCGGGAATCGAACCCGGGTTTTCGGCGTGACGAGCGAATGCTTTAACCACTAGGCTACCCGACCGCCCCCAAAATCATTTGAATCGGGCTTAAAAGTTATGACCACAAATGGATCCAAAGTATGTATAATATAGGAACTGGATACACTAGCGATATGGATACCAAATAGTGTAGACTTTTCAGCATAATAAATTCGTTATGGTGTTTTTAGTTACCGTATACGTAGTCATATTAGGTGACGTCCAATATTTTTCTGCTCACCTAATATCACACCGTTTATATGGCAACTAAAGACATAACTAATAGTATAACCGATGGCCATTCAATACCCCTCAGAAGATAATCCAGTATCCTGAAACCTTAATCCACAATGGTATCAATAAAATCTTACTTGCTACAGGTGGACCAAGAATATATCCGATTCCTATGGCGAAATGAGTTACTCCAAATCCAACAGCGAGATTAGCTACCCCTACACATTCCACAGTCATTGGGCTGAGGATAGAATGAAGGCCTCCCCCATACAGGCCATACAAGGCGCTGAACACCATCTGCAGATAATACGTGTGTGAGTAGAGCGGGAACACCAGAGCCAGGATTCCTATTATTCCAAGACAGCTAACATGGAGCAAGATAATACTTATTTCCTTGTCGTTTAATATCATGCCTGTGAATATTCTCGACATAAGGCTAGTCAGACCCATTGCAGTGAAGAGATTTGCGGACTGAATGCGAGTGCTGCTCTTAGAGTAAGCATAATTTGGCAGATGGAAAAGGATAGCATTTTCACCCAGACCTAAGAACATCAGACTGATGTTGTAGAAAAGGAATCCATTCGCTGTTATCAGAGGCATGTTTCTTTTAACATAACTCCACCATCTTCTTTGCAAGTTTGAATTAAGAGTGTTGGAATGTAACAGTGTTGAATCCGCTTTCATGGTGTTTCCTTCTTCTACGATCAAAAAACGATTTCTTGAACATTTTTTTTCCTCGCAACTCCCTGGTTTCTTTTCGGTCACCTTGATTTGATTATTGTCCTGCATATTATGGTCATCCAAACCATTCCTCCTATTGTCAATAATGTCACATTTTACACCAGCATCACAGTGCTCCTGTTCTTCCGTCAAGTTACTCGATTCATCCTGAAGTGCGTTACCTTCAACAAAGAGCGTGACTGACTGATACTCATGCGGTTGATCTGGGACGATAACGTTGACTGTAGCTTGTCGTCTTGGCCTCATCAGAGATCCTGCGACACAGAGGTGACTACCTATGGCAGCAAAGATGAGAAACGCACCACTGAGAGAATAGGTTTTTAGTAATATGGCAACTAAAGGGCCTCCAGCAAACAGACCCATGGCGGTTCCAGCAGTGGAGACGCCAAATGCAAGAGGGAGGCGTTTTTCAAAGTAGAGTCCAGGTATGGTACCTGCTGCATTTATTGCTAGACCTGCTCCCAAACCTGGAAAGCAGTGAAACAAAACTTTATGAAGACCAAGAGAAGTGTTATGTATTTTGTAGTTTTTTGCAGGTATAGCATACTTCGAGACGGAGGCACTGTACATTTAACCCGCTTCATCAGTCAATCACTAATATGAGTAATATATTTATGTTTTGATATAGATATTTCTCTTGCATTCATTCTCTCTATTGTTTTCTCTCGTTATTTCTCAGACCCGTGAAGATTACGGAGTAGAATAGGTCTTCAGCAAACCATGCTTGCCGTAAAAGGCGACTATGCTTGTCGTAAAAAGGCGACAAACGGGATCGGGTGGTCAGGCTCGCTGACTTGGTTGATGCATGTCATCGATCCCAAGTGCGTGGATCGATGCTCATGATATTAATCACTGGATTGTCTTGTCCAGACTCGATTATTTACAGACCGCAGTCATATAGCTGGGATATTGCTGAGTGCGGCGTCAAACAACAAACCAACCAACCAACGTTATTTCTCAAATGATAAATGCATTTTGGTGACTTCGTCCTGATCCATTTCATATTGAATATAATATGTTTGAACGAAATCGCCTAATAATATTACAATGTCTATTTTTACCTGTCAGGATGCCATTCGTGAACAAAAGACCATTGACGCTCTTTATAAAGGAAGATACACTCAGACCAATCAGAACCAACGTTCCTGCAAGACAGGAAGCCGCTTTGCAGCCAAATCTGCTTGTAAAAACTCCAGCTATTGGACCTGATAGAAAAACAGTCAATTTATTGATGAAGTTTTTGCAGAATTAAAGATATCTAGCAAAAAAATATTTATAGTCAGATTCTTTATCGTTAATAACTTCTTAATTCTCAAGGGCAAGTAAAGTGAAATATGTGATTGTGATTTTTTTGTGAATATTAATTATCCTACATGTTTTAAGTCAATAAAAAAATTTCAAGGGGGAAAATAATCGTAGCATTAGGAGAAAATGTTTAAATGTCCATGTGAAAGTGTTGAAATCACATGCTCCGTAATTGGCTTCCAAACCAAACATTTTTGGGCAACGATGCAGCGGTGCATGACAAAGTTTTCATTTGCTGATTTGTAACTCTTGGTTGCTACACATAGACATACATTGCTGAAAGTGTTAAATGGGACCTTTGATCTTGAAAATGTGAACAATTAGAATAATTAACAATCTGTAACAAGGTCTTTGAAAGGCCATTTAGAAGTGATATACATAAGGAAGAGAATATATGGATGTCAACTTCTTTATTATCAGGAACACAACGTTTCGGAATATATGCTTACTCCTTCATCAGGTGAATGAATGCCATGAGCCAGAGAGCATATAAACTAGTGTCCAAAAGAAACGATACCACCTGTTTGCAACGACATAAAAGAAAAACTAAACAATGCAGAAGTTTAGGATTAGTGTTATGCTTTTGAGAAATCCTTTCACAACATCTGTACAAAAATTTCATTTCAATAAAATCTGTACAACCAATATGACAAGCCTTTAAAGATGGGTGGGGTCGAAAAATGAACATTTCGTTAGAGCACTGATCACAGAAACAACGGGAAATGTCACACCACACGTCTCAAAGTCAAGTCAGTAGCGGGTATGTCCACCGTGAGCATCAATACATGCCAGAACACGCCTACGGACTGATGACGTCAAACGTCTGATGACGTTGGGAGTGATGCGTTGCCATTCCTCGAGGAGACATCGTTCCAAGTCCTCGACGTTGACTGGAGGCACACGGCGACGTCGGATTTGCCGATCGAGGTGGTCCCATAAGTGCTCGATGGGATTCATGTCCGGTGAACATGCGGGCCATGGCAAAACCTGTACGTTGGCGTTGGCAAGGAAGTTCTGTGTCAATCTTGCTGTGTGTGGCCTTGCATTGTCATGTTGGAAAAGGAGTCCACGAGGCTGTTGCTGAATAAAGGGCACCACAACAGGCCGTAGGATGTCATCAAGATAACGCTGTGCATTCAGGTTTCCACGAATTACGACAAGCATCGTTTTGACGTCACCACATATGCCACCCCAAACCATTAACCCTCCACCTCCAAACGGCCGGACCTGTTGGATACAGTTAGGCGCCAAACGTTCACCAAATCGTCGGTATACAAGCTGCCGTCCATCGTTTCTGAAGATGAGAAATCTGCACTCATCAGAGAACATAACACGTGCCCAGTCCCGCCGTTGCCAACGTCGAACTCGCCTGGCCCAGATCAGTCTGTTGTTCCGGTGTCGAGGCGTCAGGAGCGGTCCGCGGTAGGGATGACGTGGCCGGATACCATACTGCCGTAGTCTCCTGTAGACGGTCTGTCGACTGATCCTGTGTCCCAGTGCTGTAGCCGCCGTGGACGTCGCTGTTACGGTGCGGTTCCTCAGGTGTAATACCCGGATGTAACGATCTTCAAGGGGCGTGGTTACTCGTGGTCTTCCACTCCTGGGCCTGTCTGACGTCTGACCTGTCTGACGTAACCGCTGCATCAACCTGGTGATAGTGATGCGTGCGCAGCCCGACCTTCTGGCGACGTCGACGTGTGACGCTCCTTGTTGGACCATTCCAACGGCTCTCTCTCTCTCTCGATGGCTGTCAAACGTGGCATATCTTGTGTTCTTTTTGTTGCTGTGATATCAACGTGTCTGATCAGCCGTTTTATACAGTTTTTCTGCACGTGCAGAACATGCTAGTGAGGGAAATGTCACTTTCACGAAATTTACGTTTTTTCCCGGAAGTGATCACGTGTTTCCGGTATTTTTTATCGACTATGATGTGTTTGGGATGTGCAATACGAATTGGCATGTTTTTATACTTGACAATTCACTTAGTGAAAAACAATTTTGAAAATAGGTTGGTATCGTTTCTTTTGGACACTAGTTTATATGTACATGTTAGGACAACAACAATTAATAAGATAACAAAAGGTGGAAGATAATAAAGGGTTATCACCTATCAACGTCAATCATCTGTTGGCTAACAAGGGAAAGCGTGTCGAACACCGGGAACTCGTTTTCACCCCAGTAAGGGAAATGCCCTCAGTGGTTGCATTCTTCGTTTGGGGGACAATTTTGCCTGTTTTTTATCGTATGTCGTTTGGTCAAGCCTTTGTGAATAGGTATGTCCGAAAGTATTACAATCTACAAAGTTGCTCTACCTACCTGACAACGTAGTCGTTCCAACCAAAGTGGAGCCGATCCAAGATGTCCGCGAAAGGTCATTTTCTACCTCTTCCAAGATGGCGGTGTTGAATACGCCAGGCGAATATAACAACATCCCTATGATGAAGTTGGAAAAGGTTGCAGCAAACAGAACAACCCAGGCATATCCACTGTCAGTATCCTTGCGGTGTCTTGTATCCATGACAATGGTACCCCTTTGTTCCTTGGTGCTGAGAATCAGACAGTGAGTGCGTTAGAAATTCATCATGCCATATTCTTGTATGTAGTTTTCCATAGATTCATTGTGACCTCCACAAGGTTTTAAAAGCTAAACGCAGGTCAAGTGTATGTTTGGAGGATTGCAAAGTTCATAAAACGTTATTTGAGAGGCACTGCAGTCGTTAAGCCCGGTACTGTGTGTGTCCACCATTGCCATGAATGACTGCACGACATCCTCTGCCTGTGGAACCATGAAACCTGTGAATGAGGGATTTGAAAAAATTGCTTCAGATTATGTAACACTGGTTGATGCTGATGTTAACGTCTGTCCAGCTCACCCCACGGATAATCAATTGGGTTGAGATCTGGTGACATGGACGGCCATAACAGCACGTTTATGTCTGAGATCTCGGGTAATCAGTAATCATCCTGTGTGGGGAAGAACATCGTTATGCCGTACAATGGCGCCTGCTGCTTGCAGAAATGGAACAATGCTGGGACGTAAGGAAGAAGACGTTTATTCATGAATGAAGGCTACATGGCCCAGAGTTCATTTACATGAATAATGTATACTATGCACATGCACATATTTTCTTAAAACAAACGTTCATATTTTTTACATTTGGATTTACATAGGTAAATGTCTTTTTTAAATATATAGACAGGTTTTTCATAACAGAATCATTTCTGATAAATAGAAGACAGATAAATTTTGGAACAGATGGTCGCACATGGTAACATTTTGGAATTAAATTTTCTCTACTACTTTTATAAAAAGTACAAATTAACAAAAAAATGGCACTCATTTTCTATTTCATAGCGGTTACATTTCATACATAAACTAAACGATGACTCTGCTGCTGTATTAAATTGAGCTTTCTGTACATTCAGATTACGGTTTATACAACGGAATTTACATAAAGCTCTAAGAAGCTCTGTTTCACATGCTTAAACAGACAGATATTTTTCTGGTTCGAGTAATGATTTATATGATGAATAAACATCAAGGAAAGAGGAATTGGTGATTTTGTATATTCTATATCTTAACATCGTTGTTTGAATATAACCATGAAGCATTTCAGATCGCCACAATCCTGAGAGAACCAAACATATGAAAACCCAGTTTGAAACACTAATTGTCTTACATAAGAAACCCAGTTAGTTTGACCATTTTCGTCAAATGCTTTTAACATATGGTAACAGGCATACGGATATCTTGTTTCATGTAATCTAAGTAGTCGACACCGGGACTTACCACAACGACTGTAATAGTGTACACACAATGATGTTCTTCCCAGCTCTCCTAGAATTGCATTTGTTGATGTTCTTTTACCAACGGAAAGAACTCTTTATAAAACAATTACTTTGAACCTTTTCAATGCTTTTTTCTATAGGCACACCCCCATATTTTGAGCCATAAAAAAGAACAGGAGCAGTCTTTGAATCAAATATTTTAGCAGCAGTAGAAAATGGGAGAGATGGGACTTTCTTTATCATATTCAACACAGGAAAAGTCGCTTTCCTTGCTTGAATAGCTAGTGTATCACATTCTTTAGTCCAAACAAGTCTTGAAGAGAATAGTAGACCAGGGTATTTGAAATGTGATACAACTTCAATTTGCGGACCTTTATAAAACCATTTCTCAGTTTTCCTCAGATGACCACCCTTTCTAAAAACTATGACTTTTGTCTTATCTAAATTAACTCCAAGGCATCATTTGTCATAATTAGAGTCTAAAGCATCCAGTTATCTGCAGTCCAATTACACAATCATCAACAAGAGTGACATCATCAGCAAATAATAATAACGTGATTTCATCAAAATTATCTTACATAAATATGCCTCCTAGCCCAAGAATCTCCATTTCACATACAGATTCGTTTATAAAAAGTATCAAAAGAAGAGGACTCAACATGCATCCTTGTCGGGACGTTCTCCACGATAACGTGTACCTGTGAAGTTGCCTATGATATGAACAAGATCTGATCGTCACCCATAAGAGATGGCTCCCCACATTATGACACTTCCTGTACCTTTTGTAAGCAACGTCCTTTATAATGCTCATTCCATCGAAGATACACACAGATCCTTCCATCTATTCTTTGAAGAAGGAACAGGTTTACGAGACAATTGCAAAACCATGCACCAAGGTTTGCCCCCCTTATTAAATCGTCTAACCCCCTCCCACCACCCCTGCACGACCCCCACCCCCGACAAATATTGATGCAAGGGTAGTTACGATGAATAAGAACCTGCCGAAACAATGGACATAGCGCACTCTTGTGATATAAGCTTTAGATACTACAGAGGAGATTGATTAAACCTAAGCAGAGTCACACCTTATGGTGTGTCACACAGTGGCAACCTCTGTACCAAGAACTCTCCTCATCATTTACTGGATGACAATTATTTCCAATCAAGGAACAGTAACTTGTTAGACGAATTGATGTCATACGGCAAGAATGATAAACACATCTCCCTGTTTACAAGAACTTCGCGTCACACGAACGTTCCTATATTTTAGTTGTCACAAAACCTACTTCCCAGAGAAAACTAGTCCAACAATATTGTACTGCGCCCTCATTACATGACCTTGTTTATTTCACCAGTGTGTTCGTGTCAAGTTATGGAGAAGCGGCTTGGAACCTCTGTGATGTTACACAGAGTGGCAACCTCTGTTGTGTTACACAGAGTGGCAACCTCTGTTGCAGGCCATCCCTGAAACATTGCCTCACGTCCAATTCATTAAAGTCACTCCAAATAGCTTATTCTGAATCGAGGAACAGTTACTTGTCAGATAAATTGATGTTAGAGGTCAAGGAAATAAACACATCTTCACATGTTCCTTCATTCTTGTTGTTACCAAACCTTTTTCCAGCAATAGTGAACTAAACTCACATTACATGACCTTGTTAATAGAGATCAGTTTCAAACATACCACAGTCAGAACGTAGGTAATATGGGGATCAGTTTCAAACATACCACAGTCAGAACGTAGGTAATATAGGGATCAGTTTCAACCATACCACAGTCAGAACGTAGGTAATATAGGGATCAGTTTCAAACATACCACAGTTAGATCGTAGGTATTATGGGGATCAGTTTCTAATATACCACAGTCAGTACGTAGGTAATATAGGGACCTGTTTCAAAATACCACAGTCAGAACGTAGGTAATATAGGGATCAGTTTCAAACATACCACCGTCAGAACATAGATAATATAGGGATCAGTTTGAAAAACATACCACAGTCAGAACGTAGGTAATATGGGGATCAGCTTCAAACATACCACAGTCAAAATATAGGTAATATAGGTATCAGTTTCAAACATACCAAAGTCAGAACGTAGGTAATAAAGGGATCAGTTTCAAACATACCACCGTCAGAACGTAGGTAAAAAAGGGGTCAGTTACAACATACCACAGTCGGAACGTAGGTAAAATAGGGATCAGTTTCAAACGTACAACAGTCAGAACATAGTTAATATAGGGATCAGTTTCAAACATACCAGTCAGAACGTAGGTAATATGGGAATCAGCTTCAAACATACCACAGTCAGAACATAGGTAATATAGGGATCAGTTTCAAACATACCACAGTCAGAACGTAGGTAATATTGGGATCAGTTTCAAACATACCACAGTCAGAACGTACATGTAGGTAATATGGGGACCAGTTTCAAACATACCACAGTCAGAACGTAGGTAATATTGGGATCAGTTTCAAACATACCACAGTTAGAACGTAGGTATTATGGGGATCAGTTTCTAATATACCACAGTCAATACGTAGGTAATATAGGGACCTGTTTCAAAATACCACAGTGAGAACGTAGGTAATATAGGGATCAGTTTCAAACATACCACCGTCATAACATAGTTAATCTAGGGATCAGTTTCAAACATACCACAGTCAGAACGTAGGTAATATAGGGATCAGCTTCAAACATACCACAGTCAGAATATAGGTAATAAAGGGATCAGTTTCAAACTTACCACAGGCAGAGCGTAGGTAATATAGGGATCAGTTTCACACATATCCCAGTCATAACGTAGGTAATATAGGGACCAGTTTCAAACATACCACCGTCAGAACGTAGGTAAAAAAGGGGTCAGTTACAAACATACCACAGTCGGAACGTAGGTAAAATAGGGATCAGTTTCAAACATACCACAGTCAGAACATGGTTAATATAGGGATCAGTTTCAAACATACCACAGTCAGAACGTAGGTAATATGAGGATCAACTTCAAACATACCATAGTCAGAACATAGGTAATATAGGGATCAGTTTCAAACATACCACAGTCAGAACGTAGGTAATATGCGGATCAGTTTCAAACATACCACAGTGAGAACGTAGGTAATATAGGGATCAGCTTCAAACATACCACAGTCAGAACGTAGGTAATATAGGAACAGCTTCAAACATACCACAGTCAGAACGTAGGTAATATAGGGACCAGTTTCAAACATACCACAGGCAGAGCGTAGTTAATATAGGCACCAGTTTCAAACATACCACAGTCAGAATAAACACACATCTCTGGGTCAGCAGGGGCTTCCTTTCTGTGCTGATGCAAGACGTATTGTGTAATCCAATCACACTAATGGAATCCAGTGAGAATTGTGTAGCATTTTCAGGAACAACTAAGATCAAAATGTCCGACCCTGAACCTTCAGCACATTAGGCTTTCCGCCTATATATAGAGAGATCTGGGTCGCATGGCAACCCACATACCTTCAAAGCTACCTAAATTACTCTATGACTTCTGCTCTTTCAAAACGTCTTCTTGATGTTGAACCGCTTTTTAATATGAACGCTACTATGGTTTCGTTATTACCACAACAATACATGTATAGCGATCGTTAATTAAGTAAAGCATATATCATCAGCAGTTATCCTGTTCACTGATTTTAATGTAGGGCGGTACATAATGATATGATTACGTAAACTGGCACTTTGTTCGAAGTGGCTAGGCATGAATAATATTGAAACATTGCGATATACAGTCAAACAACTTGATCCCGAAATCCTGGGGACGATATGAATATATCGACCTCATTACTGTCCGACCTAGCCATCAGACAACAGAAAACAAACGTACACAATTTGTCACATCTATATGCATGTTATTCAATGTATGCAATACCCGTGAAGATCCGTGAATATGTCTTGTCGTAAGAGGCGACTACATGATCGGGTGGTCAGCGGTAATATAGAACAGACTGGGAGTTCGAGGCAACCTAGGATTCGACCAATTCGAGTTCGCGACAACAATTACAAATGTATGTGTCAACAAGATCTAAGTTACACGAAATCTTTGGGTTCAGGAATATAGCAATCGATCAGTAGTTTGAAACAAGAAGTCTGTTAATACTCGGGTCATAATTACATTGTCTCAACTATATTAATGCGTCTGTATGCGTGCAAGTGTGGACTTTCAATTTCAATAGCACTGATATGAGTGAGTGAGTGAGTTGGGTTTAACGCCGCTTTTAACAGTATTCCAGTTATATCACAGCGTGTCAGCTTAATGTGGGAGGAAAGCCCGAAGTGATGCAGGTCTCAGATGATTACCTCTTCGGTGAAACCCACGAGCACTGGTATGGTGCTGACAAACCTAGAAACATAAATGGGGCGAACCGGGATTCGAACCCACAATCATAGGCTTCTGGCGTGCCCACGGGACGCAACTCTGCACAGCGAATCGCGGCGCCTTAGACGACTGGGCCACCCGTGCCCCCACTGGTATAAATGCCTACAAATGTAATTTTTACAGTTGGTTTCCGAGATTGATGTATAGATTAATATATACACATTTACCGGCGTTTCAGAAAGTATAAATGCACTCTTTGTGCATGTTATTCTACTCCATGGGAAATCCATCTTTGGGGATTCCACGTTAGGATACATCCCCAGTTAAGAGGCGGGAAAATAGATTGAGTACTCAGGCTTGATGACTTGGTAGTTGTGTCATCGTACCCATAGTCGTCGCTCATAATATCAATCACTTAATTGTCTGTTCTAGAACCGATGATCTACATTTTTATCACCGTCATTGGACTGGAATATTGCTGAGTGCGGCCTTTAACAACAAGCAATACATTTTCAATCCAGTTTACTTCACCCTCCCTATCTCCGTATTTATATTCTTACATCTTTCATAAATTAATTCTTTTTGTTGCCTATTTTTTCAAAGACCTTTTTACTGTTATGTAACTGTACCCAACGTTACGTGCCAGTGTTACAGGCTTGCCCACTTATGCAACATTTTTACCATGGATATCCCATACAGGCAGATAAGACTGGCACCTAGGCGACCATTTGTTTTGTAATGCCCCTAATCTCATTCTCATTTTAAGAAGTTATTGCTCTGCCTGTAAACTTGTTGTTTTTGGTTTGTTGTTTAACGCCGCACTCAGCAATATTCAAGCTATATGACGGCGGTCTGTATATAATCGAGTCTGGACCAGACAATCCAGTGATTGATATCACGAGCATCGATCCACGCAATTGGGATCGATGACATGCATCAACCAAGTCAGTGAGCCTGACCACCTGATCCCGTTAGTCGCCTTTTACGACAAGCATTGTCACCTTTTACGGCAAGCATGGGTTGCTGAAGACCTATTCTACCCCGAAATCTGTACGGGTCGCCTGTAAACTACTGCATGTTACACTCACGTTATCAATATCCTTCATCACCGCAAACAATAGATGTAAGACACTCATCGCACAAAAGTCCAGTTTTAGCCCTTTACCTGCCCCCAAAAATGCCGAATGTTCAACACAAGTCGTATGAGTAAATAACGTTACACAGCACTCTTGAGCACTCTTTTAATGCTTGGCTTCCTGGTGGCAGCTTGTGACGCGACGTCACGATAAAGCGTCTGCATTGTGGAGGCCTCAAATAATCGAGTGTCGACCAGACAATCCAGTGATATATATCGCGCATCCATCCACGCCGTCTGGGTACGATGACCAGCTACCTACCAAGTCACCGACCCTGACCACCAGTCACGTCTCGGCTCGCGACCAACATAGATTGCTGTGGACAAATTCTTACCCGGAATCGCCACGGGGTGAACATGCCAAGAATGTTTTAACGAAGTTGTCCTGATAAGCTTTCTTTGCAACTGTGGTGTAGTGGATAAAGCGTGTGCCCAGAGAGAAGGTCTGTGATTCGATACCCTGGCCGCGTCATTCGAGTTTAATAGTAGTTTACCAAGGAAAAAATGTATGTAGGGTTTCTCGTCCATTCCACGTTTTTGTTTAACAAAGATTATTTTTACAATTCTCACATTATGTTATCAACTAATTTGTTGTTACTTTGGAACATACAATTGACGTAAATATGTTTTCTGTAGGGGAGAGAACACAGCTAAGTAATCGCAATGAATTGTTAAATCAGTTTGTGCGTTTGTTAGCTTATTGTAATAGCATGGATGTTACGCAGTTGATGGATATTAATCTCATGGTCAATCAAAGAGAGTTAAAAAGTGGATACACTTTTAAAGAATTCACAGTCGGTAAAACAAGGGATCCCTCACCATTGGAAAGAGAAAATGATCAGTTGTCTGTCAATGCGTTACGTCACACTCTTATGTTTTAAAATAGCCATGGTAATGTTTAATACTAATGCTTCTGGTGAAATGCGTTGTGGTGAAATGCGGTTTAACGTAGCGTTCTAGATTATTGAATTTATAAAGTGACGTGCATGCACCTCTGCGTGTGTGTGTGTGTGTGTGTGTGGCTGCTTGTACTAGTCCGGAATAATGATTATTTTAACAAAGCTGGCCAACTGAGATACCATGCCGCAGTTTAACACTCACACACAGTATAATTGTTTTACCCCTTTTATGCCGAGATCCAGGCAGAGGAACAGCAAATACCTTTTTTCAACGTCTCTTGGTGTGACGCTGCCAGGGATAGAGCCCTCGACTTCCCGCTCTCTGGGCAGACGCAGACGATTATGTGTGTGTGTGTGCGTGCGTGTGTGCGTGCGTGCGTGCGTGCGTGCGTGCGTGTAGTAGAATATTCCGACAAGTACTTTTGTTACTCTGTTGTTACAGGTGAAATTGGGTTTAACGTCGTTTAACATGGATTCCATTCTCTCAAACCTATAATCCTGACTTCCAGAGGACAAGTTATTTTGTATGTCCTTTCTGCCGACCCAAAGGCAGGGTAAAACATCGTCGTAGAACGTATGCGCATTATGCTGTCAAACTCTTTAGACTGAGTCCGAGTCGCTAGACCTTGTTTTATTCCCTGAAATCGGCTTACTGCACACATTCAGTCAATAGAAGTTAAGCTTAACTGGGTAGACACTGTTCAATATGACCTGTATGGCATGTTGTCATGTACACATGTACTTGGTTTGGCACTGTTTTGTTTTGTTTATTTGTTGTTTAACGCCGCACTCAGCAATATTCCAGCTATATGACGGCGGCCTGTAAATAATCGAGTCTGGACCAGACAATCCAGGAACTGACATCATGAGCATCGATCCACGCAATTGGGATCGATGACATGCATGGTTTCAACATGTAGTGACATATATATCCAACATTTTATTATGCTAAATAATCTAGTAATCTAGCAAGGTCTAGCAACTAAATCTTTCCACGAGTTTACCAACTGCGTGTACACTGTGATCATCGTGGTGTCATGGACGACAGGTGTGTGCCTCCATAGCGTTTGCAATACACTGAATATCACGGTCACTGCACAATTCGGTACTTGCTGCTGCTGGTTGCAATGTACTAACAGTGAATTATACCGTGGTTAACATATTCAGAATAGGAATGATTTCGATAAATCATAAAAAAGAATCACCTCGTTATACGAGTGTTTGTTAATGCACGTTCCTCAAGACTTGTCACAGCGAAACAATTTGCTTACCAGACTCTCGTTTTTGTGGATAGCCCAGTTGGTGTCATGTCATTAAAAAAAGACTGACATACATAACAATCGTCAACTTACATTTCTCCAAGAATCGTCGCTAAATGCACACAGAAGCATATAATCCCAGGAAGAAGACAATTCAGTCACTATATTCTCAATAAACATCTTTTGTGTAACTGAATGTTTCATCCATGTCATAGCAATGGACCTGCATGGCCGCCATTGTCATCCTAACACACATATCGATTGTATGGAGAAGACGACCTGACCTACATTACACCGCGCAAGCTATTAACGAACTACTTCATTGTGATTGACACCTGAACAACTTCGGGATTTATTCTGTCATGATATAACTGAATTACTGTTCAAGGTGGATTCAAAATAACTCACTCAAGCGCGCAGTCAATGTCTGCAAAGTCTAAATATAGAACCTTTGTACCGAATGTTCATAGCTGATCTTTTAGTTGCAGTAACCTTAAAGGCCGGCATGCGGGTATAAAAGAGGCAGGGTTATGGGGATTTTGGATTTGTTTCCAGTCTTTTTCTAGTGTTGATAACCCAAAGGTTAATCAAATCAGCGTTTCCTTTAATTCCATTACATCGAAATCTGCGTTGTGCCAGTCCAATGTCAAATCAGGACATAATATGAGTGAACTCCCTGTCATTGAGCCTATCCATACAGCTTTAGTTTTGTCTGTGTTTATTTGTAAGCCAGACATTCTATAGAAATTACTTAGTGTATTTATTGCTTCATTTAGAGACGTTGCTGAGCCATCTAAAAATAGTTCGGTGTCATTGGCATATTGACCTATTACACGCTCACTTTCTCCAAGGACTGTACCTTTCATATTTGTATTTTTTCTTATCGTTATCCCTAGTATTTCTGCGACGAAACGAAACACGTATGGGGAAATCGGATCTCCTTGTCTACATCCTCTCTCGTTGCTGAAATATGATGACAAGTGACCGTTTTGTATGACACAAGAAGTAGAGTTTGGTATCTGGATATTTACCAAATGTTTGCATATAAATTCCAAAACCAAATTGTGTCAAAACTCACTCAATCCACCCACAGTACACCCACTCACCCACTCACTCACTCATCACCCCGACAGCCCACCCAATCACTCACTCACTCATCCCCACAGTCCACCCATTCACTCACTCACTCACTCATCCCCACAGACAACCCACTCATTCACTCACTCACTCATCCCCACAGTCCACCACTCACTCACTCACTCTAACCGCCCACCCACTTACTCACGCACTCACCCCAACAGCCCACCCACTCACTCACTCATCCAAACAGTACACTCACTCACTCACCCCACCGCCGACCCACACACTCACTCATCCCCACAGTCAACCCACTCACTCTCTCACCCCCACAGTCCACCCACTCACCCACTCACTCTCTCACCCCCACAGTCCACCCACTCACCCACTCACTCTCTCACCCCCACAGTCCACCCACTCACCCACTCACTCTCTCACCCCCACAGTCCACCCACTTACTCATTCACTCACTCACTCACTCATCTCCACAGTCCACCCACTCACTCACTCACTCACTCATCCCCACAGCCAACCCACTCACTCACTCACTCATCCCCACAGTCCACCCACTCACTCACTCTTCCCAACCGCCCACCCACTCACTCACTCACTCACTCACTCACTCATCCAAACAGTACACTCACTCACCCCACCGCCGACCCACACTCACTCATCCCACCGCCGACCCACACTCACTCACCCCCACAGTCCACCCACTCACTCTCTCACCCCCACAGTCAACCCACTCACTCTCTCACCCCCACAGTCCACCCACCCACTCACTCACCCCCAAAGTCCACCCACTCACCCACTCACTCTCTCACCCCAACAGTCCACCCACTCACTCACTCACTCACTCACTCACTCACTCACTCACTCACCGCACAGTCCATTCACTCACTCACTCATCCCATCGCCCACCAACTCACTCACTCAAACCACAGTCCACCCACTCACTCACTAACTCAATCCCCCCACAGTCCACCCACCCACTCACTCTCTCACTCACGCCCACAGTCCACCCGCTCATTCAATCGTACCCACAGTCCACCCACCCACTCACTCACTCATCCCCACATTGCACCACTCACTCACCCCCGCAGTCGACCCACTCACTCATCCCTACAGTCCACCCACTCACACACTCACTCATCCCCATAGTCCACCTACTCACTCACTCACTCACTCAGCCCCCGCAGTCCACCCACCCACTCACTCACTCACTCATCCCCACGTTGCACCACTCACTCACCCCCGCAGTCGACCCACTTACACACTCACATATCCCTACAGTCCACCCACTCACACACTCGATCACTCACTCACTCACCCCCACAGTCCACCAACGCACCCACCCACTCACTCAACCCCACAGTCCACCCACTCACCCACTCACTCAATCGTCCCAACAGTCCACATACTCACTCAATCATCCCCACAGTCCACCCACTCACTCACTCTGTCACTCACGCCCAGAGTCCACCAACTCATTCAATCGTACCCACAGTCCACCCACCCACTCACTCACTCACTCACTCATCCCCACGTTGCACCACTCACTCACCCCCGCAGTCGACCAACTCACACACTCACTCATCACCACAGTCCACCCACTCACACACTCACTCATCCCCACAGTCCACCCACTCACCCACTCACTCACTCAGCCCCCACAGTCCACCCACCCACTCACTTACTCACTCACTCATCCCTACGTTGCACCACTCACTCACCCCCGCAGTCCACACACTCACTCATCGACAGAGTCCACCCACTCACTCACTCACTCACTCAGCCCCCCAGTCCACCCACTCACTCACTCACTCACTCACTCACTCAGCCCCCGCAGTCCACACACTCACTCATCGACAGAGTCCACCCACTCACTCACTCACTCACTCAGCCCCCCAGTCCACCCACTCACTCACTCACTCACTCAGCCCCCACAGTCCACCCACTCACTCACACACTCACTCATCCCCACAGTCCACCCACTCACACACTCACACATCCCTACAGTCCACCCATCCACTCACTCACTCACTCAGCCTCCCAGTCCACCCACTCACTCACTCACTCACTCAGCCCCCCAGTCCACCCACTCACTCACTCACCCCACAGTCCACCCACTCACTCACTCACTCACTCAGCCCCCACAGTCCACCCACCTACTCACTCAAACACTCACTCATCCCCACAGTCCACCCACTCACACACTCACACATCCCCACAGTCCACCCACCCACTCACTCTCTCACTCACGCCCATAGTCCACCCACTCATTCAATCGTACCCACAGTCCACCCACCCACTCACTCACTCACTCATCCCCACGTTGCACCACTCACTCACCCCCGCAGTCGAACCAATCACACACTCACACATCCCTACAGTCCACCCACTCACTCACTCACTCAGCCCCCCAGTCCACCCACTCACTCACTCACTCACTCATCCCCATAGTCCACCCACTCACTCACTCATCCCACCCACTCAATCTATTTCGTAACGACAAAGGGTAGGATGATTCCAACATAGACATGGTGCAGTTATAAGTTAAACTTGGGGGCCATGATATGTAAAATGACTTGCATGCAATAGTTTTTTAAAACTTCACATTCTTAAAAGTAATCCCATATATGATATATAACAGACAAATGTATCAGAGAAGGTAATTTTTAATCATTAATGTCCAAAGAAGGATTGTTCCAAGCATTCGGCATTCGGTAATAACATCAACAGTTTAAATCATAAGTCCCAAACACCTTAATCTGATGGCACAGTAGCGTGTATGGCCACCATGTGCGTTGACAACTGCCACACAACGCCTCCGCATGGACCTTCTGATGCTTGTGAACACATGGTTGGGAAGACGACGCCATTGTTGCTGACTTCTGCCAAGAGCATCCCAGACATGTTCGATGGGATTGAGGTCGGGAGACCTTGACGGCCAGTCCATGACGGTGACTCCCGCATTCTGAAGGAAATTCCCTGCCTCTCCCTGGAACGAGGTTCTGGAAGACCACAGGGTCGACCCTCGGTGCAAGACCAATTCCACCCCTTCACCACGATGCTCGGACCATTCCAAGAGTCTCCCTCAACAACACATGCATCCGAATAACGCTTCCCAGGGAGTCGCAAAACTCTCTCTCTCTTCTGGCCCCCAGCATATTGAAGTTTGTGGATGTGCACGTTGTTTTTCCTGGAGGGTGATCATCTGAAAGATGTTGGGATGAGCCTTCCCAACCGGCTTCTTTAATCTGCAATGCCGACCCTCCAGATGGTTCATGCTTTGGGCCCTTCGGTGGTGTGGTGACCCATTGCCAAAGGTGCAAGTCTCCTTCTAATCAGAAGCTGGTGACTTTATCTGCAATTGTTAGTCCTCTGGAATGGTATATAGACTTCCTTAATGCCGACTTGGACAAGAGGATGGGTGTGCATGTCCTTAACCCTGGGATCACCTCCGTGGCCTTCTGGTAGAGCGTCAAGACTAACAGCTAACACATAAAGGCTCACAGTTCACGCCTCACAACTGACAGATCAAAATTCATAGATCACCACTCACAGCCAACAGATCAAGACTTACAGTTCACGACACATAGCTAACAGATCAAGACTCACAGCTAAGGTGCTACATCTACTCGGTGATGATGCTGTAATTAGAAACAAAGTTAACCCAGGTAATGTAATCTACTCGAAAATTAAGCAAGGGTTACATGGGAGAAATTCTAAAAATGCATATCCGTATGTATATCACGTCCATGTATAAAAACATGCTTAGATAATAACATGAACTAAAAACACATTATATTCGAAACAAACAACAAAAGTCTGTAAAGTCTTTTGTGAAAATGACATGCTAACAGGCACATATGTCTTCAGGTGAACAAACTTAGTGTTACCAAACTCAAATGTTGTCATTGCCTTTTTACCGGAAAGTGGACTACTGACAAAATGCGAGTTTGGATTGAAAAGCAGTAGTAAAATCCTTCATTGTGTGGCGCAACACGCACCCACGTCATAATACGAACAAACAAACATGTTTACCGACATCCAGAATCCTAGATAGAAGCTAGGAAGCTCATGTCATATTCCTAGCAGATGGTAGTTTAGTGGTGAAAGTGTTCCCCAGGTTCGATTCCCTTGATTGATATACACTGTGAAGCCCTTTTTCAAATGTGTGTGTGTGTGTGTGTGTGTGTG